ACATTATTCCTAACTGTAGCCATGTTATACAATAGGTATTTTGAAACATTTACTATATTTGCTGTACTTAGTTATGATATTAAAAATGAACACTGAGAAATTTTTTGAATTCTCATTTAAAATATCAGTACTTATTACACAACATAATTTATGAAAGTGACTGTTTTTCCAAACAAATTAGGAAGAGAAATAATGGTGTTTCATTTTGGTAAATTTCTTTAATGTCCGACTTAGCAGAATGCAGCTGGATCCTCATCTCTGCTTTTGCCTTCAGCCTCTCACGGACCGCGCCCCATTGGGTGACCTGTAGAAAATTCTCTTGTACAGTCGGAAGAGCATGAATGTGGGAAGGCAATAATATCTCAGCATTATTATGAAAATAGTGTTGACCTTGGAAATCCGGTTTGAGAATTGCTGAATTAGAGAGGCATTACAAAGGCTCTTCTTAAGTTTGCTGATGACGGGCTCAGGGAAAGAGAAGCTGACATCAGCACCTTGTAGCTCCGGGACCGTGACTGACACAGACACTTAAGAGCACCATGCTGGTTTTGGCATTGGATGAGTGTGACAAGAAGAAAGAAATCGAAAGCCTGTCCAGGAGAGTGGGAAAGCCTGCATGATGCATTAGAGTGCAAGGAAACACTGCTATGGTAAGATAATTTTAGTATTCACCTACTTCCCCTTTCTGCAAGAAGACAAACTTCTCTTCCCTTTGCAATTAAACACAGCCACATGCCTCGCCTTCAACAACGGGCTGGGTGGCAGGCACTTCCCAGAAGAAGCCTAAGAGCTAGTTTGCTCTTTGCCATGCTCTTTTCCCTCCTGGCAACCATGAGTGTGCCAAGTAAACATTAGCTGCCCTGTCAGCTGGGCACCCCAGGACAGCACGGACAGGAAACAGTCCCCAGCTGGCCCTTGCTGGGCATGTAGCACAAATGAGAAAACAATCAGTTGGAGTTTTGGCAAGTAAAGAATATGGAGTCCACCGTTTAATGCACATTCATTGAGAGATCACAGTACATTAAACATTGTGCCAGGTGCTAGGATTACTGATGATCTAGATTCGTCACCAGCCCTCAGAGAAGTGCAGGTCAGAAGGCACGTAAATAAGCCAAATCATTCTGTTTTCTTTGCCACTATTAGCCACGGGCAGCACGGAGGCGGAAAGCCCTCAAGTCCCAGGCAGACGGCATAGCCACCTGGGGTTTGTGAAGGGACATTTTGCTGACAGGACCATTTGAGAGATATGGCCAAGGCTAAATAGGTCAACAGGGATGAGGTGGTATCCAATGACCATGCCTGGAGGAAAGCCCAGCCCACCCATTCTGGTCTGAAGGGAGAAGGTTTAGAAATGGTGCTGCGGGTATAGTGAGAGTTGGAATCATGGCAGAAGGGTCATACAACTCTAGCTGTAGATGTAGAAGGGTACAGGCATTGTCAGAAAGAAAGCAAAACAGGGAAGGATCAGGAGAAATAAATACTCTGACTTCTTGGTCCACCTGCTCACGAGTCTCCTGCCCATACCTCCTATTGGACAGCCCCACCTGGAAACCAATGAAAGAGCACCCAGGTCATACAGCACATGCAAGTGGTAGACACCAACTTTTAGGGAAGAGAGATAACAAACGTGTGACCTGATATCCTTTTTGGAAGGTTAGGAAATACAGCACATGGGGAAGGAATGGATCAGCCAGAAATCAGATCACTAGAGGTAAACTGCAAAGGGGAAGTGGCATCCTATTTTCTGACCTAGCCTCAGAAATCATGCAGCATTGTCACCCTATTGTGTTGGTCACAAGCAAGTTACAAACCCACCCAGAAACAAGGTAGAAAGTGAATCCCACCTCTTTTTGGAGAAAGCCAGGTTCTAGGACAGCAGCAAACAATTCAGTAGCCAGTAGCCGCATGTGGCTTTTTACACATAATTAAAAATTTAAATGTCATTCGTGTGACTAAGGAACTGCATTCTAAGGGCTCAACAGCCATGTGGGGACTTTGAATGGTTACACCACTACAGAAGGTTGTATTTGCCAGTGTGGTTCTAGAGCAGCAGGTGAGGCAGGAGCCACTGTACCATCCTCTTACAAAACTACCATCCACCCAGCACAGGGACTGCAGACAAAAGTACTTGGAATCTCTGGAATATGAACCACAGTAGTGCAGTGACTCACATAATACTGTATACAAAGGCTGTCAATAACTGCTGCTATTTACTGTGAAGAGGAGAGCTGTTGGCCCAGTTGGAGGGCCCAAGGGCGATTTTTGCAGGTGAAGTTCCCAAGTTAAAGAATGCATGTGTGCAAGCATTAGCAAGAGCAGGCAGCACGGAACAGGGTAGAGTGCAAGAGCTCAAGAGTTGCCTGCATCTTTGCTGTGTAATTCTTACACAAGTTGTGATCTCATATTTACATTCTTGTTTAGAGCTGTAACTAGCACATGCATGTTTACCTGTGCTAAGGTAAGCATGGTTACATAACTGTATCCTACTGTGTGCCTGCATTAGACAAGCAGGGTCACATCCTCATGTGTCCTTAGATGTCCCTAAGATTTGAAGCAGTCTGAGTGGTTCTGCACATGAGTACTTGCATGAAGGCTTGCAAATGACAGGTCACGTAGATAGCTCCAGGGACTAAAAGTAGGGGCAATAGAGGGAACCACAGAAGGATGATATCTATACCAGGATACTCCATCTTTCTTGGGTCAAGGGTCTCTTTGAGCATGAGATAAAAGCCACCTTTCCCTAGGAAAAAAATACGCATGCACTGCTATGTATTTAGTTTCAAGGGTCTATAGATACCCTCTTCCTAAAATTCTATCCATGGACTCTTTGGATCAGAGCCCTTCTCTGGGCTTTGAGCTCTTGAAGGTATTTCCATATCCCCAGGCATTACAACTAATTTCCACTGTAAGTCCTTTCCAGAAGGTAAAGGATGGAAGACAGGTGGGGAAGGAATGGTTAGGATAATGAGAAGAGTATCTACCAGCTAAGCTGGGATCAGATCACTACCGGTAATTATGGTGTGTTAAATCTTTGAAACGGTTCCCTAAAGGCAATTTGTGTCTCTAGTGGTATTCAAAATGCCTGGCCTTAATGTCAATTAATAACCATACATTGAAAAAACGAGGCACAGTTTGTTCAATACAAATAAGATTTTATGGGCCAGGAAGCATTTAATAGAATGTCAGGAACCCTATAATTTTCTCGGCACTAGAGGTGTCTAAGTAAATTTGCAATAATGTAGATAAGATTTGATCTTACAAGCTAAACTGAGTGTGCTAAGGTCTTGTCTGGCTCTGGAGTTAAGAGGTTCTACAAAGAGTGACAGTGTGATCCTTCACTTGGGCCTATCACATACAATTTGGATAAGGACGATGGAATCTGGATCGTTTTCATGCAGCTGGAGCAGCTCGTAGTGTTTTGGATGGAAGTTGCCTTTAGAGGATACAAGATTGCCTGTACAGATATTTCAAAGGTTAAATGTGCTATAATCAGCTCTCGTGGCCTGCTCCCCAGCCTGCTGGAAGATGCCACTCTTCTTATCCCACCACCCATAAAAACCCTCTACCTCCCATCCTTGCCCTCAAATATGATTCATACGAAACATCCGACTTATCCAAGTGGTCTGTACATACAAAGACAACTTCCTCCCTGAGGTTCTTCAGGCCTCAGATCTGCACATAAGTGGTGGTCATTCTCCTTGCTCCCACATCTAGTTCTCCTGACACTCCAGACGCACCTAAACTAAGCAGTGCACAGACTCTGAGCAGCCTTCGCTGGGTCTTCAGGCTCCCTGCAAATTGTCTTAGCCCTGTCCCAGCAGTTTCTGACATACTCAGATAAACCTTAATTCTCCACAATATACTGTCTGAACGTTGAATTGTACCATGAGAAACTCAGCTAAATCTAAGGCTAAAATTACCCCCCACCTCTCTGATCCTCTCACAACATTTGTAAAAGTCCATTTTAAGCAGTTAGTCTCCTCTCTCTAATCTGTCAGTTCTTCAAGATCAGGAGCCATATCCCCAATTCCAAATACACAGCTACGTTGTATATTTGGCAGTTAGTCTGTTCCGGTTTTATTTTCAGAATTCTATGTCAATAGTTTTAGAAACAATAAGCATAATGATTCTTGACTGAGTTCATTACTGAGTGTGTATTACTATCCAAAATCTCAAAGACTTTAGTTCTGTTTTTCAGAGGAACTGTAGTTCTGTTTTTCAGTTTTCTGTTTTTCTTATCCCTCGCGAAAAACTGAACTGTACTGTGTAGCTGTTGGAATCAGATTATTCTGGGCTGGAAGCTGTTTTGATTCCTGTCGGCCGCGTGGCCTTAGGAAAATCACCTAGCTTCTCTAAGCCTCAGTCTTCTCAGTTGCAAAATGAAAATTCCGTTCCTACCAGGATCATCATATTAAATGATGAGCTATAAAGCAGGAAGCATTTTGAAAGTGATACACAACGCTTCTGTGTTGTTGTTGTTGTTGTTGTTATTAATATTGTTGTTTAATCAAAGAGGCCAGGACTGTAAATGCTGCTTGGGGCACAACTGATGTGCATCTTAAAAGAGGCAGCTGATTGTCCTACAACCAGGGCCTGGATTAAGGTGAAGTGAGTTGAATTATGCAAGTGCAAGGTCGACCTTGTTTTCATTTAAATTTCTAATATTTCGTGATTTGGACGGGGGGGGGGAATGGATTTTAATCTTTTGAGCTAACGCATTGAAATATTTTTTATCTTAACCAGTTTCTGGTCTCCCGAGGCAGTGCTCATTCTCCTGGACCTAGCCCTGCCCTGCTTACAGCGCTCTGCACTGGTTGCGCCACATCCTAAATTTCTGACGAGAGGAATCTAGAGGAAGAGAGTCTGACTTAACCTGTTTGGACACTTTAGAGCAACAGAAGCAGCCCACCACAAAGGGGCGGAGCGATCGGACTACAGCTCCCAGAAGGCCGCGCGGCACGCTTGCTGATTGGCTGCGCATGTCCCGCCCCCTGCCCGCCCCGCCAGGAAGACCCGGCAAGTCCCAGGCTAGTGTGCTCGGAGGTCAGGACCCGCAGGGACCTCCCACTTGCGGCCTAATGGCAGCGCAGCCCTTGTCCCGGATATGTTGGCTCCTGAGGTCCAGCGCCAGGGGCTGTAGCTCGGGGGTGCCAGGGACGCAGCCCAGCCCCAGGGAGCCCTCGAGACCCGCCACAGAGGTGAGCCCGCCCACGGGCGTCCGCGCGGTCCTGGAAGGGTGGCGCAAGCCTGCTGTCCTCACCCCTGGACCCCCCACCACCATCACCGCCAGTCTGTCCCCGGAGGCGGCTTATGGGAGGACCCCCGGTAGCTTAATAGGGGGGTCGTGTTCCCCAGATCTGCCGCCTGGGCTCACCAGCTAGTCCAGCAGGAGAGACCCCTGGGAGTCTCACTCAGACACTCCTGTACCCCGAGCGATGCTACCCCATTCTAGGAGTCAGCCGTGCCCCAAAAGGGGGACCACAGGGATGGGACCTTGGGCCTAGGGAGGTGTTTTATTACCTATTCCTTAAACATTTTCGCACCTAACTCCCAGTCCTGGTGTGTTTGCGTGTGATCAAGTGTCCCAGCGACACCTGCCTCATCCCTGGCACCACCTTGGTGCCACCAAGTTTCCACTTTGTAGTCACAGGGCTCCGTGACCCGGCTTTGTTTCTGTCATCTTGGTTTCCCTTGGGAGAGTTCAGCCTCATTCTTCAGGGGAACAGAGCAGGACCCCACCTTTCCCAGGTTAGAGGTTCCTGCCTCTCTAGAGTTTGGGGCGGAATTCTCCGGTCCTAGACAGAGCCCCTCAAACTGTTTCATGCCATAACAAGTTGGAAATGCGCTACTTTTCTTGTGTAGTTAGAGAAACGTTGGGGGAGGAGCATCTCTTCATTTGGTTAAACATCTTTCCTAGAACCATGTCCTTGTCGTCCTGTCTTCCGGGAATGGGCTTCCCATCCTGGAATTCGGGTTCCAATCATTGTCCCTTCTCTCTTGCTCAATGAGGGGACAGGCTTCTGCCCAGACTGATTACTTTCTCTGGATCCCAGTCCCTCTGGGATCCTGAGATCAGCAGGCCCGTTGTTGGGAAATGAAGCACTTTCAGGTGTTGTTGAACTCTGAAATTCATTGAGGACAAGTTGCTGAAGCAAAGATAGCTGAGGGGTCCTTAAAGACTTGGAGGAAGGGGAAGTTTCTCCATCTCCGCTGATTTGCCGCATTCACCAATAGGCCTGTGCTGGGGGTCTTGATATCAGTCTTCTGTGATCCTCACCGTAAATACAGTGAGGGAGACGGCCCATCAGAGTTAAAGTGACTGGAAAGTAGGGGCAAAGAAACTCATGATGGCTGTGCTCAGGCTGCCTCCCTGTGAGGGTCCTGGAGAGCGGACTGGTGCCTATGCTTCCCCATACACGTCTGGTGTAGCAGGAGTAGAACAGGCACCGGAGCACACTGCTGGAGTTGAGTCCAGCCCTGCACCTTGCAGGAGGCCCTGAACAGTGGTGTTCCTGCCTTCCCCGTGTCTCCCCAGGGGCCTTAATAAACTGAGCACTGGACAAAGAGTCCTGCATTCTCACCCTCCACCTAGCCCCGGTTTTATCTGGCTCCTAGGCTGTCACTTTCTGTCTGTAAATCAGAACACTGGACCAGCGCATCTTAGACAGCAGGGAAAGCCATGGAGATTCATCTTTAAGAGGATCTCAAAGTGGAGATGAGATACGTGTGTTCAGTCCATCCACAGAGCTTGCCGGTTGGCGAAGTAGCGATGGGGTACTCGGAACCCTCTCCTGCCCTCCCTTCCTGCAGGGCCCCTCTCCCTATGCCCCATCGGGCTCTGTTTTGGGAGAACCAGAGTGGAAAGCACTTCTGCTTATGTGTCAGGTGTGCTAGAGAAGTGAAATGCAAGTGGGAGCTGGTGTGTTAAGTAGCTTCCAAGTGGTGCAGGGGACCTGGCATCCTGACTGCAGTGGCCTAGACATCTTTCCTGGAGGGCTTAGGCCAGCCCAGGTGTACCCCCTTTCTCCTTCTGAAGGTCCATGCAGGCTCTCTTGGGCAGCAAGGGCCTGGCCTGAGGTCCTGGGCCTTCTGTCTGTGGCGGGAACAGGGATGAAGTTCACTCTGGACAAGGCAGAGTCACCCACCTGTTCGGGATGCCAGGCAGGACCAAATGCTGGCAAGGGGACCAGGCAGGAGGGAAGTGGGTATGGGAAGAGGCAGGAAGGAGGCCTGCAGGGTGGCCTGCATGGAAAAGGGGCTCTCCAGGGGATCCTCTTGATTTCCATCTGCCTGGCTCCTCCAAACCCTTGTCTCAGGGAAGCAGACTGTGCTTACCAGCAGCCAGAGGAGTGAGGGCCCCACACTTGAGGTGGGCATGGCAGAGAGAGCAGGAGAGCCAGGCCTGTGCTGGGCACTTTGCTGTGTCCTCATTTGATAGAGATCAGCTGTAAGGACTGCCTGCTGTACATTATCCCAATAGCAGGTAAGAAGGGAGCATTGATATTTGAGATTGGAGTGGATTATTTTTCTCCTCAGTAACCTTGCTACTCTGTCTAGACTAGAGTGATTTAGGGACTCCCTTTTACCATTCCAGTCAAATGTCCTTGAAGGCAGTGATCCTCCCTTAAGTAGCTCCCTGGTACTATCCTTCCTGACTCCCTCTCCCTGAGTGGGTGTGGCTGGATGAGAGATAATCAGAAGCATGCGGCAGGCTGCCCTGTGCCGGGTCCCATAGCACTAGCACCAGTGGTCTTGCGGGAGCTCAGACTCCACTTGTCCTGCTTCTGGTAGTGCAGCAGCAGGTCTGAAATGCCCAGCCGTGGGCCATCTACCATTGGTAGGGTTGGAAGGCCAGCGTCTAGCAGAGCTAGGAGATTAACACAAAGCAGGAAAACTAGTCACAGCACACCTCCTCCATGAATATTTGTTTAATGAGTGAACATACATAAGTAGGGATTATACTGGGGAAACCACAGTGTTGACTTAACTGGTATCTGCTGTGTCAGGAGCTCCCATTGAGTTAGGATTACGATCGACACAGATGAGGAAAAGGAGGCTGAGATTCAAGTGCGTGCTGCAGCTTTACCTGTTCCAAAGGAGCAAAATGACACCCAGTACTGGCATCTGCGGGGCCAGGGCTGCCCAGCCCTGGCTGCAGAGGGGGGAGCCGTGGCACTTGCCTGAGTCAGTCTGTGGGGCGAGGTTCTGTTATCCACTCTTCCCAGAAGCTCTTGCAGTACCACCCTGCTTGAGAACCTGTCCTACAGTAAACCATTTTGACAGCCTGAAAACGAAGGGTTCGATATCACTTCCGCACCCTCATTAGAGTAGAGATGGGCAGCTCTTCTTTTTCTTTGACGCAGTGGTTCAACGCTTGAGACCAACATGCTGTGGTCCATGCTGGGGATACTGAGGCGGGACAACTTCCCACAGGAGAAACCTGGTTCAGGCTGCAGCCCTGGGAGCTTTCTGCTACCTTCCACAGGCCCCAGCCCATCCTGGGTGAGCAGGGTGGCTCTCTACTGATAATTCCCTCTGAATCCTGTGTCCTTTTTGACGGGTGTAGATATTTTTTCCTCCAGGAGATTGAAGAGAAAGGGAAAAAAGTAGAAACAGGCTTGTGGGAGGCATGAGATGTGTTAGTGTCCAAGTGATGAGTGCACGTGACCGGAAGGGTGAGTGCACGTTAGATTGGGCTGTGGTGTCCAGAACCGGACGTCCAGAGCCAGTGCCTAATTTCGGCTGCTCCTTGGTCAGGATTCCTTCCAGTTTCTGCTGAGTTATCTTGGTCCTCTCACGCTTTCCCAATTCCTGGATTTATTTTGCTCCTCTTACCCAGTCGCTCCCCACCGCATATGCTAATTGGGGTGAGGATAATTTGGCCAGTGAAGGTGTGGAGTTTGGGGTAATTAACAAAGGACTGCCTTGCACCTAGCTGCTAATGGAAATCAGCCATGAACCCCATTTCTAGGGACCTCCCAGAGCCTGCGGCCGTGTCTCCTCCCCTCAGGCCCCACACAATAGGTGCCTGATCCTTCCCGCTGGTGCTGGGTGGGGTGAAGAATAAGACTGAAGCAAGTTCCCATGGGCCTGTCCCTCCGCTGCCCTGCCAAGCCTGAGGTCCCCACCCTTGGCTGAGTGCTGGGAGGTGGATCTGTTTCCCAGTCTGCCCGTGTGGTGGGAGGGACAATCCCAGCTTCCCCAGGATTGCAGGGCCCGGACTGACCGGAAGCTGAGAAGCATTGTCCAAATGTCAGAGCCAAGCAAGGAGCCACTCCTGTCGGGGGCACTCCTCTCGGGCCCTCCCCCACTCGCCTGTCCCTGTCCTTGCAGGAGCTGTCCAGGCGGCGGCAGTTCCTGCGAGAGCACGCAGCCCCCTTCTCTGCCTTCCTCACGGACAGCTTTGGCCGGCAGCACAGCTACCTTCGGATCTCACTCACCGAGAAGTGCAACCTCAGATGTGAGTGGCCGTCCTGGGCTGGCTCTGGGCTGCTGTCCCTCTGCTGACTGATGTAGCTTCTCCATGCTGCTCATGCCCAGAAAACTGCTTCCGTCCTCCAGTCCCACCTCCAACTTCCCCACCCTCCCCTGCCTTGCCCGGGAGGAGGATGGAAGTCATGGTTGAGTTTCAGAGTTAGGAACCCTGTGTCCTACTTAGATTTGAGAACAGAATTGCCATTGGGTTTAGGATGAAGATTGCATCCTGGACCTCTCACTCGTCAGGGTTCCTGCTTCCCTTCAGTTCCCAAGCCCAGGACATGGCCAGCGGCAGGGCAGTGGACATTGCAAACATGTGATCCACGCAGCAGTGCCCTCAACAGTCACTGCAAGCCACAGATGCCCCAGGCCTGGGACAGAGCACTCATGCTACATAACCCTGCGCAAAGAGCACTTTGGGGTCTATGCCCTGCTAGGTGCTTCCACAGTTGGATCTTCCTTCTTGTCTTTCCCCCTTCTCTCCTTTTCCCCTTTCATTCCCTCCCTCCCCGCTACTGCACCTTCCAATAAGTGAACTTGTTTCATGGGCCAGTAAATACACTTGTAGCTGGTAAATGATTAGTCAGACAAAATACTACCTATTGCACATTTTGATCTTCCCTATTTTGTCTCAAGAGTCCAATTCTGGACCCACTATGCCAACTTGACTTTGTACTGTAGCAGGTCTTGACCCGACTCTTGCGAAAGCAGACCAGAAGTAGACTAGGCAGGGGTGGCACTCCCTCACCTGTTGATCTCATTCTGTTCTCTTCCCTAAATGAAGAACAGAACTGATAATAACCTGCAGCACAGGGGTCAGATTTTAGATCACTTGTGGCCACAGAGGACAGCAGCTTTCCCCAGGCCAGAAAGACTTCCTTGATTTCCTGGCATGGCCAAAGAGGGGCCAGCCACAGCTCAGAGCGAGGAGGATGAATGACGCCAGCAGGAATGGAACCAAGGCCCTGCTCTGTCCGGCCTTGCCCAGTTGCCCCTTAGCTGAGTGAGGAAACCAGTGTCTTGGTATCATCTGCACCTAGTTAGGCCCTGCTGTCCTCCTAGTTCATCGCCTTTGACCCACAGCCTCGGCTCCCAAGCGGGGAAGCGAAGGCCAGATTTGGCAAGAAGGTTGCTACCCGTGCAGAGATGAGAAAGGTCCCATGCAAGTGTGCCCCCCTCATCTCTGGATGGGGCTCAGGGAAACTGGGCCTCCCTGCCTGCAGCACCCATGTCCTACCACCTCATCTCTTTCCAACCGTCCCTTTTGCAGGCCAGTACTGCATGCCCGAGGAGGGTGTCCCCTTGACCCCCAAGGCTGACCTGCTGACCACAGAGGAGATCCTGACCCTCGCCCGGCTCTTTGTGAAACAAGGGGTCGACAAGATCCGGCTCACAGGTGGAGAACCGCTCATCCGGCGGGATGTGGTGGACATCGTGGGTGAGTTGGACACATGTCATCCCCCTCCCTTTTCCTGCCTCATCCAGCTGTGCCCCAGTGGCTTCGGGTCACATGGAGAGATCAGAGTCATCGCCAGGAAGCCGACACAACCAGGCTCCCGCTGTCCTGGGCGGCTTCCTGTCTGCCATCCGGCCCGCTTTCCCTCTCCAGTCACATGGGCAGGCCATTGTACTCGCCGTTCCCTTTGTCAAGGGCTCGGGGCTCTGCTGTGCTCCAGGTCATCTTCTTGGTGAGACCCCTCCCTTGGTCACTGTCTAGCCCGCGTCCCATGTCCTCACCCCACTCGTTCTCTCCCGAAGTTGGCAGACTACAGCCCTGAGCTCAAATCTGGATCCCCACCTGTTCTGACATTCAAGCTGAGAATGCTTTTATAGTTCTACATTGGGGGGGTAGCCAAAGAAAAATGTTTGATACCGGATGAAATCTGCCTGAAATCCTAAGTTCTGTGTCTGTGAATAAAGTTCCGTGGGAGCACAGCCGGGCCCGTGCACTTGCATTTCATCCACTGTTGCTTTTGCAGAGTTGAGCAGTTGCAGCACAGATCAGGTGGCAGAGCCGCTGGCACGGCGGAAAGTGCTCGCTGCCTGGGACTTTAACACTGGCATCCCAGCTCCATCTCCTTCCCCTGACTTAGTCTTCTTCGTAAGGCTTCTCTCATCCTGGCATGATTTGCTTGCTTATTTGTTTAATTTTCTCCTCCATTCACCAGCATGACAGCTCTGTAGTGGTTGAGGCAGGGTACACTCACAACTGTGCCTCCAGCACCTGAGCCATGCATGGCAAGTACTTGGTGCTCACTGGTACTTGCTGAATGAGTGGTGTGTCCAAATAGTCTTGGGAGTAAAACATACAGTACTTACGTTCGAATTTCCAGCTGTGCCTCCTCCTAGCGGTATGCCCTGAGGCAACTTTTAAAGTTTGTTCTAAGCCTTGGGGCCATGAGGATACCTACCAGGTAGGGTTGTCCTCTGCCCCAGGAGGAAAGGGCTGTGTGATGTGCCCTGCCATGGTGCTCGTAAGGGGAGAAGCTCTGCAGAGCCGCGGGCTGCTTCTGAGCCCCAAGGACAGGCAGAGAACTTGGCTCACATCTTGGACGGACAGAGGTCAAAATCAAAAGACAACAAGGCTCTGTGTTCTTGATGGCTGCGCCCTCCAAGCTGCTCTGGGTGGGATCTCCCAGCCCTCAGCTCTGTCTCATTTCCTGTGTCTGTCACTTGCATTGCAAGTTGGGAGAGGTTTGTTGAGGCTCCTGTTTGTAGACCATGGTCAGAAACGGCCTGACAGAGGGAAGCTGCTCACCTCCCTGCAGCCAGGAAACAGAGAGGGGAGGAGCTGGAGAAGAGAGACCCCCTGAAAGGCACACGGCCAGTGACTCTTTTCCTCCAACTGGCCCCACTTTATAACGCCCTGTTCTGCTGTAAACTCATGAGTGGATTAATCCATTATTGCTAAGTTATTCAAATTAGCCCATTTATTAATGCAGTCAGCGCCCTCATTATCCATTCACCTCTGCAGGCTCTACCTGCGAACACTGCTATATAGGGGATCAGGTCCTCCATAGATGAGTTTTTGGGGCAGACACTTGAAACTTAAGACCCTAACTCCTTGGGTGGCAGCTTTCTTGTCTGGACCTGCCACTTTAAGGACCATTCTGGCTGTGAGGGGGCGTGATCTTTGCTTCAGGTGAGCAGCCTGGGATGGGCAGGGTGATCACCATGCAGACACTGGTTAGGAGGAGGGCCTACCTGTGAGTGACCTTCTCTGGAGGATTTCCTCCACTCCCCAGCCACCTTTCCCCGGAGCTTCTAAGAATGGCAGCTACAATGTGTAGTACTTCTACAGAGTGCTTTGCTGTTTCTCAGGCAGCCCCTGGGGTCCTCCCAGAGATGCTGACTCAGCAGAAGGGTCCGAGGCGCAGGACAGGTGGGTGTCCGTGTGGGAAGGGCAGAGGGAGGAGGTCGCAGTTTGCTGGTCTCCTTGAGCCCACAGTCTGCAGTCCTGTGCCCTGCGCCCTGCAGTCCCTGCTTGCAGCTGGGAGAGCCTGGGGAATGCAGCAGAGCTCCGCATGGGACTTGCATCACACGCGCCTCTGCCGCTTTCTGTGTACAGTCCCCGGATGCGGGGGAAATGGGTTTAACGCAGTGCTGCGCACAAGGACTTTCCAACGTGGCAGGACCTTTCTGTGGCTGTGTGGTCTCATTCGGCACCCACTACCACACGTAGCTCTCAAACAGTTAACCCAGGACTAATGTCACCAAGGAGCACTTATTACTTTTGAAATTCGAAGGGCCTCAGTGGCCGGCAGCTGCCACGAGGAGGGAACTGAATACACAGGGGCCGTGATGGTGTGGACGTCTTTGCAGAGCCTTGCTTGGACCTAATTTCAGATCGACTCCCTGTCAGGTGGGCTGGGCTCAAGAGACTCTCAGCACAGCAGCTGGTTCCTTTATTTTCTTTTTTCCTTTCCTTCTTTCCATCTTCCATTCCTTCTTTTCTTCTAGGGAGTAGCCAGATCCCACAGCCTAGACCTCCTGTGGGATTTAATGCCGTAGGGAGCCGTTGACAGATTCTGAAAGGAGTGAAGTTTGTTGTTTTTTTGTTTGTGATGGGCTCCGGTTGCATAGGGCCATATTAAATCATAATCCTGGGTGCACAAGATATTCTAATTTATATTTTAATGTTTTCAATTCCTGATGAAACCCACTGTGCCCTCTTCCCCCTTTTATTTTATTTTACTTTTTTAAGAACGCTGGAGGCGACTTTTATCCACCTTTCTGTCCTCCTGATCCTGTTCCCTTTCCCACCCCAGCACAGCTGTTTCCTGAATTTTGTTTATCTTCATGTTGCTTTATAAAAATTAGTGTTTTTAATACTTTATTAGTATCATGCTGTGTGTAGTCTTTAAGGGCTTCTTTCATTCATTCATTGATTGCAACAGAATCTTGCTATGTACCCAGGCTGGCTTTAAACTCCCAGTGATCCTCCTGCTGGGATTGCAGATGTACACCACCATGCCCAGCTTGACCACAGTGAAATTCATACCTGTTACCTAAAGCCAGAGTTCTTTCCTTTTCTCTGGGAGCTCCTGTTCCCTTCCGTGACTGCCATCCTGGTTCCTGAGCACTGGAGTTGGTTCCAGTTTTTTGCTCTTCTGAACAGTGCTACTTTGAACACACATTCACATTTCCTGGCATAGACTTTCTCCAGGAGCAAAATTGTTGGATCACAGTACATACGAATATTTAACTTTGGGTAACTATGTGGCCCTATCTTTTTTTTTTTTTTTTTCTGTCTTTTTGAGACAGAGTCTCGCTATGCAGTTCAGGCTGGCCTCGAACTCACAACGATCCTTCCTGTCTCAACCTCCTGAATGCTGGGATTACACTTATGCGGCCCTATCTAAAGTGGTTGTACCAACTTATACTCTAAGAGATCCTATTGGATGTCTTCTCAACACTCATATTATCATGGATTTTTGCCAGTTGAACAAGTATAAAATTATATTTCATGGTGGTTTTGATTTGTATTCCCATGTTTAAGAACAAATTTACTTTTCTCTCTACATGTTAACTAGCAGTATGTATTTCTTTCTTGGTATATTATCTAATCGTGTCTTTTGTACATTTTTCTTCATTTTAAAGAGAATAAAAAATAAGAAAAAAAATGATACAGAATTTTAAAACAAGGTGATAGGGAATGAACAATGGTTGTTATATTGCATATTGTTATCTTTAAAGTAGCTGTTCAGGTTACCAGATATAGGCATGTAAGACTGATCAAACAATTAAGCATGAACTGTTCCTTTCATTGATTGATATTGAAAACATTACAATATAAATGAGAGTATCTTGTACACAGAGGACTATGATAAACTGATAGAAATTAGTAGTACAGTTATCTTAGCTTTTCTACTTGGCAGTTCTTTCATGTTGATTTGTAGAAATTCTTTGCATATGTTGGAAATACATTCTCCTAGCCTGAAGAAAAAAGCTACACATTGTATGAGTCTTCTGAACAGCAGCACTTCTTAAATATATCAGTGTTTTATGGTTGCTGATTTTGTATCTTATGTTGATGAAACATCTAATCCTAGGGCAGTGTACCTGCCTGTGTTTCCACTAAAAAATTTAAAGTTCTACAAGTAAGTCCTTAGTTCATCTGTGGATGATTTTTAGGACTCCAATTTAGTTTATTTGTTTTTTCCATATGGATGACTACTTTTAAAAATATGTTTTTATTAGTGCCCATTAATTTTATAAATTACTAGGTTTGAATATGGTATTTTCATCCATCCATGTAACATATTTTGGTCCTAGCCATCCTGTACTCTCCCTTAAGTCCTCCTTCCCGCTCCCCCCTTTTCCCTTCCTCTTTTCTAAAAATAATTGCCTTTAGATGGCAGTTTTCTCTGGTTCACTATATTGAACAATTCCTACTTCCCCCATAAATCTGCCATGTAAGCATCGATCTGTTTCAGGCTCTGCTCTGTTCAGCTTTCTTTGTGCCAACATCATGCTATCTTAATCACGATCGCTTCATAATAAGTCCATTATCGGTAGGGCAAGTCTTGTTTATTTCAGCAGTGTCTTAGTTACACTAAGCCTTCTTCCTATAAATTTCACAATGAGTTTACCAAGAGCCATGAACAATCCAGGGGCCTTCACTGCACTGAATGAGGGAGAATTGACATCATGGTTGCTCGCAGCCTCCCACCCCACTTCCCTTCCACAGCTGTCTCGTCTTTGCTCAGGGACCACATTGCTGAGTCCCCTATCTCCAGGTCCCCTCTCTGATTCTATGCTAAACGTTTTTACAGCTGGATTCCTGGATCCAGAACTCCCGTGGAGCAGCCTTTCCTCCACAGTGCCTTGTATGTCTTTCAGCCTCATGTCTTCCATTGCTCTTTGTCCCTGGATGTGGCGATAGATAAGTCCCTGCAATTGTTGGTCTGAGTGGTGTGCATTGTAGCCTGCCGTCTC